TACTGAGAAAAATACAGCTATATTGCAGAACAACATCAGCAATATGTCTGAAAAAAAATGTGCTTCAAAAAAAAGTTGGCAATTAGGTTTAAATATAGAAAATAAAAAAAACGGAGGAAGGGGCAGACAGAATACAATTTCAAAAATGTAAGAGAATATCGCAAATAGGACAGGCTTCAGATAAATCACAGAAATTAATGCTGAAGTAAGAAAAAATGTCCAACTATTAGAAAAGTTAAAAACAGAACATGATATTTAAGGTGGCACTGGAAGTCTCATTTTTTAAAGGCTGTTAGCGCCAGGTTTACAACATTTTCAAGAAAATTAGTCCAAAATGTTATAGTCTCATTTCACTGAGCTAGCATTTCTTTCACAGTACATTAGAAAACTTCTCTGGCTGCAATCAAACCTGGGCAGAGCAGGAGACGGGGGAGGAAAAGGAGTTCAGTTTTTAACAGTAAATCCCTGACGCAGCCCACTGTGTGGCTGCACAAATCACAGAACAATTTATACTGGAAGGCAACTCCGGAGTCACTGTCCAACTCTGTGCTCAAAGCACGGAAGATACTGACATTGCATCAGGATGTTCAAGGCCTTGACCAGAATTTTTCAGTATCTTCAAAGACATCAATTTTACAGCACTTTTGGAGAACCTTTTCCACTATTTGAGCACCCTCATTGTGAAAAGGATTTTTCCTAGTACCTAACCAGAATTTGCCTGGCTGCAGCCTGCTACTGTCAACTTGTGATATGCCTTGCTTCAAGAGTCAGATGTACCTTACCCACTGCTGCAACTCTTGGGCTTTGAGAAGATTGCCTCTGGAGGCCCATCAGCTCTCCTGGACCCCTGTGCTCCTGAGGGCAGCCTCCTGTGCAATCCTGCCTAACAATTCCCCAAAGACTCCTCTCCTAAAGTCCAGAGTCATTATCCTGCTACTCGCCTTTCTCACTTTCCTCAGAATATTAAACTCCACAATCTCAGGGTGACTGTAGTCAAAGATGCCATGAAACTTCACCCCTGTAACAGGATCTTCACTATTTTCAAATAGCAGATCCCACACAGCACATGCCAAATCAAGACATCCAGCACCTGTACACAAAAAGTGTCCTTAAAGTACTCCAGAAATCTCCTAACCCACAACTGGAAGACTTCTTCAGTTGATAAAGGAAGAATCCACCCAGCTTCACTTCATGATTGGGTGGTCTGTATCAAAGCACACTGCATCACCCTGTTGGACTCCTCTGTTCTTGATCCAAAAGCTTTCAACTGGCCCATTGCTCATTTCTTAACAATTCCCTGTGCACTTCATCTCTGCCCAACCTTCCAAAATAACCCATACCTGCCTGTCAGTGCACCTTCCTCACGCAAACCAACTATGTCTCTAAAATCCTGATGACATCAGAGCTCTGCAGCTGCACACTGACCTCTAATTCCTCCTCCACATGCTTTTGCAAGTTCAGGTATAAGCATCTGACATGGGATCTTGATCAAACTTCAGGGTAGGTAGATTTTGGACAAGTCAGGTACAAACTATCAGTAAAAAGACAAAAATCTTAAAGCACTCAGATGCAGTACTCTAGAAATTTCAAAGGACAGTACAGATGCCTTGATCCACAAGTCAGAATGCATAGAAGGTCCCTGAAGAAAATTTAAATTTTATTTAAAAATATTTAGAAAATAGGAAGCGAAGCTTAATTGGAAAATATTAGTCACCTTAATACTACATGTGCTCCGTCTGTTCAAATCCTGTGTTAAAACAAACCCCAGTTCTTAAGTTGATACCAGATGCCATCTAACAGATGCTAAAAAACAACACAGCATGTTCTTAATTTAAATTATCGCAATACACCTATAATCTCAAAGATACACTACATTACATTACTGCAGAATTTTTCTTAATTGAAATAGTATGGCAGTAAGTTTTCTCATAAGAAGGTCTATTTTTCTAATAATTTTCATTTTACCAAAAATGTACAAAGGCAGAATTGAATACTATGCTGTCCTGTCTTTACCTCCTGCCTTCAGCCCTCCAAAAGTATATGAAAACCGATTAAATTGTACAATACTTTCACACACTGACCTCTAATTCCTCCTCCACATGCTTTTGCAAGTTCAGGTATAAGCATCTGACATGGGATCTTGATCAAACTTCAGGGTAGGTAGATTTTGGACAAGTCAGGTACAAACTATCAGTAAAAAGACAAAAATCTTAAAGCACTCAGATGCAGTACTCTAGAAATTTCAAAGGACAGTTAGTACAGATGCCTTGATCCACAAGTCAGAATGCATAGAAGGTCCCTGAAGAAAATTTAAATTTTATTTAAAAATATTTAGAAAATAGGAAGCGAAGCTTAATTGGAAAATATTAGTCACCTTAATACTACATGTGCTCCGTCTGTTCAAATCCTGTGTTAAAACAAACCCCAGTTCTTAAGTTGATACCAGATGCCATCTAACAGATGCTAAAAAACAACACAGCATGTTCTTAATTTAAATTATCGCAATACACCTATAATCTCAAAGATACACTACATTACATTACTGCAGAATTTTTCTTAATTGAAATAGTATGGCAGTAAGTTTTCTCATAAGAAGGTCTATTTTTCTAATAATTTTCATTTTACCAAAAATGTACAAAGGCAGAATTGAATACTATGCTGTCCTGTCTTTACCTCCTGCCTTCAGCCCTCCAAAAGTATATGAAAACCGATTAAATTGTACAATACTTTCACAAATGAAGCACTAAAAATCTCATCACCCGAAACGGTGAATATTTCAGTGGATAAAGCCATGGAAAATGGACTTTCCATACTGGAAAATACTTATAGTGCTCCTCAAGACATACAGATACAACCTGAAATCCTCATCCTTTTTAAACTATTTTTGGCCCTCGCAGGATTTTCATATAACCTTTCACTGCAGGCAATGTAATCCATACACTTAAAACTTGAAGCCTTTCTTTATGTGATGGTTTCCTACGGTATCAACCAATACAGAAAGGACTTGAGGAATTCAAGCTAAATAATACAGCACTTTCCCTGTAAACAATAAGACTACTTATTACAAAATTGTCTGAACTGTATTCTCTAAAATATACATTCCTCTTCTCATGCATATACTTAGCAGAGAAATGGTAGCTCAAAGTACTTGGAAGATGGCAGACACTGAAGAGATCACTTGGTCTTACCACTCAAGACTTAAGCAAAAACACTTTCTCTTGTTAGAAGTACAAGCAACTATTTCACTTTGTATTTTTGCAAAATACTTTTTATCTCTTGGCTGCATTTAGGCTGGCTTCTGAAAGAAAACAAGGCTTATGCAGTTAAGCTACGCATCCATTTCTGCATGTGTCTGTCCATCCGTATGTCTGAAATAAACTCTGCTGGCCAGTGTCAACTGTCCTCTGCTACGAGGACGGGTATCTCAGAAACAAAGTCTCTCCAACTTAGCAGAAGTGAGAGGCAAATTTTTTTTTTTACTGCTCCACATCTAAATGTTGCTGTAAGAAATAAAAGGATGAGGAAGACTGACTCTAGTCGGGACATGAAGTCTGGAAAACAACGTACGCATTTCTTCAAGAATTTTTAAGCACACGTGCAATTTCTTGCCTTTCATTAGAATAGTTTTAGGTCTAGGAATAGAGAGAACATTCATAACAAACCTTAAAAACACAGAAATTAATGCTTGCACTGAACTTAACACACAGAATTCACACATTAGTTTTCTAAGGTACTGGTAGCTTAGTAGCTTTAATAGCAAAACTGGGGTAAAATACAGAACACAGAATGAATGTAAACAGTATTGCTCAGCAACAGAAATGAATGAGGATGTATTTTTACACCCTGACAAAATTATTACAACTATACATTCAATTCCAGTGTAAGACTTTAACTGTGCTATCGAAGAATATTTCTATCTTTCCATAACACAGAATTTTTCTAAGTCAGTTCTGGTTAAACATTGACATTTTTTGCATGAACAGAACTCTTTCTGAAATGTTGCTTAGGGAGCCTGGATGAACCAGGCACTAGGAACCTCATTTATGTCTCATGTCTTGCCTTTGACAAATCCTGTGCAGCTAATTCAGTAATTAGTAATGCAAAAACCTTTCAGATAGCTAGATAAAAGTACAATTAAAAGATAAGCCACAATTTGATTGCCACTCTTCTCTCATTTCCTGCCACCCACTATTCACGCGAATTTGAGGATGATTTGAGTGAGAAATATAAATCTCCTGGAAGATGGTGAGTATCAACACATAGCTTGGGGGGGCTGCTGGCTGCACAAAACATTTCCCTGATAAAAATCATGAATAAGTGTATTTTTTTTACAAGCCAAGCACAAGATTTTATGGAAATCATTAAATTTACAGCAACACCATTGGTTTATTTCAACTCTAAACTGAATGTAATTCCTTATTAATAATCATAAGGCAATATTTTACTGCATTTAGAATGAATATGGGTATTTTATGTTTAGAATAAGTCATCACGCAAGTCCTTTCTAAGCCGTAAAAAGGCTACCCAAGATCAGATATATTACTAAATCTGTAAAGAGGACTTGGAAATAAATTATTCTAATACGTTCTGATTTGCTCAAATTTAATTAAATATATGAAAACTCTCTAAATCCAGCTTCATGTATTTCTTCATGATTCAGTTACTCAGTGGGGGGGAGAACAGAAAAATTTGACCCTATAAAACTACTACTCATCAATCCTAACTCTACTTCTTCAGTTCCCTAAAAGTTGGGAGAAAAACACACAGGGTTTGTGGCAGGCTCAATGACTCAGAAAAAACCATTATAGTAAGACCCAAGCATCGTCTAAATAATATACAGCACAATTAACCTTAAACAGTCTATAATTATGATAAGCTTCATAGTTCTAATTACTTTTCCTTTCAGTAACGCTGCTATAAAGTGAGTCGAATTATAAAATAAAATGTGTCATAGGGCATCTATTTATATATTTTTAAAGCAAGTATTTATGAAAGGATATAATTTTCCAGCAAATATCCAGCTTGCTGTTAATCTCCAGACCTTTTGCTTGTTGCCTTTCTTCTTCCAGCTGCTTTGCATTCGCAAACTGTGTCCCATCGGTAGGGGATTCTGGGAAGCTCTCAAAATTGAACTTGTCAACTTGGATAGCCATACTGTAGCAAAATGAAAAGAAAGAAAAAAATCCAGGATTTTTATTATAACAGTTTTATAAATCCAGAATTTTTCCTATAACGCTTTTACAGGTATTGCTGCTGCAGAAAATGCAGACCACTGTGAAACCAAGCACTACAATATCAGTATATTTGTCTCAGTGGCATCTAGTCTGTATACTCATGATATATAAGCCATATGATTTATGCTACTGAAAACAGAAGTCGAAGCTTATTGAAGACGGTACAATTTTTTACAAAACATTAATCAACATCTTAATGCCTTTGTGAGTGGTACACAAGACATGTTTTGCAGTTGCAACAAGTTGACCTTACTGTGGTTCTGCAGAGGTTCATTTGTACGACACTGGATGACAAGCTGACCGTGAGCCAGCAGGGTGCCCTTGTTGCCAAGAAGGCCAATGGCATCCTGGGGTGCATTAAGAGGATCGTGGCCAGCAGGTCGAGGGAGGTTCTCCTCCCCCTCTACTCTGCCCTGGTGAGACTCCACCTGGAGTACTGTGTCCAGGTCTTGGCTCCCCGGTTCAAGAAAGATGAGGAACTCCTAGAAAGACTCTAGAGGAGAGCAACTAAGACAATGAGGGGACTGGAGCATCTCTCCTATGAGGAAAGGCTGAAGGAGCTGGGCTTGTTTAGCCTGGAGAAGACTGAGAGGGGATCTCATAAATATGCACAAATATCTCAAGGGTGGATGTCACGAGGACAGAGCCAGACTCTTCTCAGTGGTGCCCAGCGACAGGACAAGAGGCAATGGGCACAAACTGAAGCATAAGAGGTTCCAGCTGAACGTGAAGACGAACTTCTTTACTTTGAGGGTGACAGAGCACTGGACCAGGCTGCCCAGGGGAGTTGTGGAGTCTCCTTCTCTGGAGATATTCAAAGCCTGCCTGGATGATGTCCTGTGCAACCTGCTCTGGGTGAGCCTGCTTGAGCAGGGAGGTTGGACTAGATGATCTCCGGAGGTCCCTTCCAATCCTTGCCACTCTGTGATTCTGTGACTCATCTGCCTTCACTCTTGGTATGTAAAAGCTCCTGCTGTGCTTAATATTTGCTGAAAAAAAGCAGCAAGACTGACCAAATGCTGATGAACACACTATTTAAAGTAGTTCATTAATCCCAACCGATCCAGAAGTGAAGCAAACTATTATATATAAAAGTGTCTCCTGAAGTGAACAGTAACACACTTAGAAAGCCATGTGCTTTTCATTGTTTTTACAAGCCAACTTCCTAAATTTGCCTTTAAAAATTTCCTTACAAAACTCAGGAAGACAAAATAACCACAGTACTAGGGACTAAATATGGGCCTTGTCTTTTTCTTTAAGAAGATACTTCCATTTTGCCTAATGTATCTTCATGAATTACAGGAAAATTAATTTCAATATTATAGTATAATTCATTGGTAGTAAATGGTTAAATAATGGCTTTATTAAATGTACAGTAAGGCATAAAAGCAAATTAAATTAAATATATTACGCTATAATGCATACTAAATACTTATATGTTAAACTAGAATCACTAATCTAATAAAAAGGGGAATTTAGACCAGCTCACATCACTTGAAATGTGGTTATAGCAGATCTAATATAGTGTGCTGCCAAAACAGCTTTAATTTCCTGAATCGTCTGAAATAGAAAAATAATTAGGGAAGAATTAAAATATATTGCTCTTGAGATGACTTTGCACTTAAGGAAAACAGAAGACCAAGCAACAGCTTTGAAAACCATTCAAGATGAAATGCAACTACAATCTAAGAAGGGGTATGGGAAGGGCATTTCACAAAAACATAGGATTATCATTATTCCTTTATTTATTTCTACATATAAAGAGGGAAATATATTCTATAAATGTTGCCAAAAGGAAAACATTAGTAACAAAAATCAACAAGAAAGGGCTTTGAAATCCCCCTAGACCAGAAGAGATTTTCTATAATTAGCATTAATTTGAGAGAATCTTGACCCTAAAAGAAACTGGGTGAAAATAAACAGCAATTACAAGAACATGGAATAATCTAGAGCCTATGAAGTTTACCGTTGAAAGATGAATTCAAATAGACTCATCATGCTTCACCCTGAGCAAAAACTGACATCGCAGGAGAAGCTGTTAATGTTCCAAAACTACCTTCATCATTAAAAAGTACAAATACAGCACTGAGACAAAGGTGGCACAATTACTGTTTCTATAAGCTACCTCTTCTGCAGACCCCATCTTCGCTGATCTTCACATTTAAAAATGAAAAAAAGGCAGAGGAATTAATCTATTCTTCTCTAAGGATTGCTTTTATTTTGGCTATTTTTTTCTACAGTGAGAGATCATTAAGAGTTCTTCATTTGCATGAAAAGACCATCAAGTGCTGGGCACATAAAAAAGCTAACATGAGCTACAAAAGCGTACCACAGTAACCCCCAGAATTGAGCCAGAAAAACAGAATGTAATGAAAAACACCTAGATACAATCTCTAGAGTGGATTTTAAAAAAAAAATCTCAGGCCTGACACTCTGACTAACAGCATCAGTCCTTACTGGTATTGAAGTATTATTTGATTCTGCAAATGTCAGTTGAGTTTCCTGGATTTTGCATGGGCAACACATGTGGAAGGCAGAGACACAGCTGGAACATTATGAAATCATCTTTGCCTTCGTTTCCGAGATTACTTCATCACTCCATGGTACATGAGCAGATGCAAACCCTGTGCTTGATTTCTATTATATACACAGTACTGCTTAAATTTTCACATAAATACTCATGGTTAGTTACCCACAGTCATATTTCAGCAACAAATTATCTTAGTTCCGAACAAACATATTTAGAATCCATCTCCCAACAGACCTGGAAAACAGCCCTCATCTCATTCTTGCGCCACACTTTTCTAAGCGAATGATATATTGGAAAAACATTCTTGTTTAATAATATTTAATATTTAATTGAGGGCATTCAGATTGCATTCTTCTGTTAATGGTTCATTACCAGCAATATGGTAATTTTTTTTCTGGAAATGAAATAGGCATGTAAGCACTTTTTTCCCCAATAGTCTACAGTAAATTCACATCAGCTTCAGGACTACAGCCTAGCTACTCTTAACAACAGCTCATTGCACATCTCTGTTTGAAATAACTTTTATTAACCTCCAAGGTACGGAAAACTTTAGTCAATAGGGCTCCTAGTACTCAGAACCTATACTAATTTTTCAAATTTGTTAACCATGTTTTTATTTATACTGTGTATACCGTATTTAGCACAGTGACACCTCATGTCGCTTGAGAAGATACAAAACCACCCCCAACAACATACTTGCCAGCTAGAAAGTGAAGATGTCTCAGTAAAAAGAGAACTACAAAGAGAAAAATATCACACAAAACAATATTACGACTATGGCTGTAGACAGAATATATGAAAGCAACAGAGATAAAATAAAATTTTTCAAGACTATAGTTACACTCAAAGTAAAGCATGACAAAATTAAATCCTAGCTCTTTTTCTTAAACATATATGCCTTTTATCATCAGAACTCTGCTTCCTCTTGTGCTAAAAATATTCATATCAAGTTTTGTCTCTGCATTTTTTATCAATAATGTTGCTTCAGCATTTATTTGCCAGCCTATGGAATGTGTAGTAAATTGGAAGGCTTTACAAAAAAATCGAAACAAAAAAATAAATACCGTAACCTAAATCAGTCACTCATCCTTAAAAATTTACCCCTACACAAACACAGCTTCTTTGCTTCACTTTTAATATGATGATTTCTCCTGTCTCAAAAGATGCATTCACCGGTGAGGCATTAACGAATGGACAAACAATTCCCAAAGCCAGTTGACTGAAGGAGAAAATGGATAAGCTGGATGTTGGGTTACAATCGCCCAATGATTGTACAAAAAGGATTTTTCAATTTTTAAGTGATCTCTAGAGATGGGCTTTATCCTAAAAGAAGCAGAAGGCAGTGAAAGGCAACCTCTTGAACACCGCCCAACTTTGTCACTGTGCTGTGCATCAAAATAACAAAACTGGAATGTATTTTAGCCATAAAAGTCTTTCTCTACTTCAGTCTACAGTTACTTTGCAACCTGTGTTTCTTATCAAGAGTTCTCTGCATTTCTTTTCTCCCCAAATTTGTCCTTGTTTCTTGTGACATAAGAAAATCTATGGAACCTACATAGAAAAAAAGTAAAAAAAAAGACAATTCAGATTGAAACAGGCATTCGATTTATTACAAACTGCTATGATAACCATGGCTCACGCTGTGCAAGGGTAACTGTATACACAGTACCTTGCCCTTCGCATAATTACATATCAGGTAAAACATAAAAGATCTTAAAACTCAAAAGTTTAAGCATCTCCTTGCTCCAGGAAAAGAGACTAGAATTTCATTTTAACCTTCTTTGCCTCATGGGTAACTATCCAAATTTCCTACAACAAGAGTTTTCAATAAATCATGAGATATTTGTATAAAAACACTGCATTATGTAAAAATATTAAATAGCCCATCCTGCAAATGCAAAACAGGTTTTCTCTCTCGCTGGCTAACCTTGCTTGTGCGGGAGGAGGGATGAAGTAACAACAGTTTTCATGAATAATGAAACAATCCTGTTTTGAAACTACTGGGTTTTGTCATGAAACGAGCCCAAGCCGTTGTGACAGCTACTCAGACAACCAAGCATCGTTACAGAGATGCAAATTATTCAAATACAAATTAAGTGAATGAAGAGGGAAAGGTCAGCTCATTGGCAATGCTGATGGTATGTCTGCACGGTATCGTCCCACGTCACCTGTCAGGATGACTTACAGGGAAAAAAATGACAAACCTTCTGATGGTGCCACAGACGTTTCAATGACAGTTATCTAAAGTCCTATTAAAGTAACAGTACAGAATTATTAAAGACACCAGAGAGTTTGTTTCACCACTTCTCATAAAATGAGCTTCAACTTGACTGCAAATAGAACTCTGTCCTGACAACAAAATGCACGACAGAAGGGACTTTGTATCAAGA